CTCAGACCGACGTACGAATCACAGTGCTGCTGGTCAGGTACTGACTAGGTGATTCTCCAGCTCCTTGAAAACAGCCATGGGTCTATTGGTAATCCCCTTTATGTAGACAAATTGTTCAAAGAACCAACAAGTTGATAAATTAGACACATGTGCATTACTTTGGTATTTTATTGAGAAAACTTTTCGCCAAACAGTGGCGTCATCAGTCCTATACAAACAAGAATATGAATATCAGAAGGAGTTTGTGGTAATCAGTCCCTCTGCCTGGAGTCGATGTAATCAGTCCATCAATCTTGAAAAGAATACGGCATATGCACGAAGAGGTGACTTATATACTGTATTACAGGTGAGGTTGAGCAGTCGTAGGCGATATGACAGTGGACAAATCCAAGGTGGAGTTAGGTCATGCCTAAAGTTAGGCAAGTGAAAAATTCCCTGTATCAAGACCCAGGATGCTACTGTCTGACAGGAATGTAGACAAATGATTCAGAAAATAGAAAAGTTGATAAATTCACTTGCCCAACCTTAGGCATGACCTACTTCCACATGTAGATTTGTCCATTGTGATATCGCCTACGACTGCTTCACTTCACCTGTCTACAGTATATAAGCCATTTTGCGCATATGCTCTGTTTTTTTTTCAAGACTGATGGACTGATTACATCGATTGCAAGTTGAGGGACTGATTACCTCAAACGCCTTCTGATCTTCATCATTCTTCTTCGTATAGGACTGATAACGCCACTGCATGGCGAAACGTTTCCCCAATAAAGATACAATCCTGTTTGGTTATTGTCCAGAGATTCTCAATTGGGTTGAGGTCAAGAGAGTTTCCAGGCCAGTTTAGAATGCTTAGCCCACTTTCTCCGAAGAATATCAGTATTTTTCTGGAAGTGTGGCATGGAGCAAGATCCTGCTGGAAACTGCCTTCTCCATCACAAAAGTCTCTATCCAGAATGGGAAGCAAATAAGTTGCCAGGATTGCCTTGTATCTGTCACTGTTCATCGTTCCCTCAACAATAACAAGCTGTCCAGGGCGTTTAGCAGTGAATTTACCCCAAAACATCTTAGTTAGGTATTTTGGCGCTTGTTGAATGTGTCCACTACGAAGATGTTCGCCTTTGCTCCGTATCAATAGCTCTGATCTCAGCCCATTCCTTATAACCTAGTGCCACTGTAGCCATTTCTCTTCATACCAGCAGTCAATAATTGTTTATCGGCTTCCTGGCAGTTCTGCCAACTTCAAGGAGCCAGCGTCGAACACTTAAAAAAAACAATATTTGTGTCAACTGAAGCCAAATCTCTCTGAAGATTTTAACTGGTTTTCTTGCGATCCTTCAAACTTTTCATATGATAACCTTGTCATCCTGAGGTGCTGTCTCGCATCTTCCTGGACGCAACGCTCCACAATCACTAGTGTAGTCAGCTCTGTCCAGAATCCGAACAAAGGTTGACTTTCTTAGGCTGAGCATGTTTTTTAAGAGCTACAATACTTGCAGGCTTCCTAGGTGTAACTTCCATCAGGAATTTCAGAAATATTCATAAATTGAAGGGGAGAATTCGGCGATTCCACATTCACTCACGGAGCACTCTTGCAGAAATAGCTTTACTGAACAACAGCTGTTGTAGCACCGTCGAGAGTAGCAGAGTAACAACACAGCTGGATTGTTACCAGAAGTCAGTAGCTAACTCTTCTAAAATAAAAGAACTCGAACTTCACTACTTACGCCGGATAATAAGACGTATTATGGGATAATCAAAAAAATTTCTCGTCCCAATTAATGTGCACAGTATTGTAGCATTGCATTGATCTGTTTTGTGCAATAAATTAATGACTTGCGAAAAATATATATTTGTCTCTTAGAATTCCCAGGAGCTAAATGC